GCAGCGGACCGAGGTGTCTGTGCAGGAGAGTTGGCGGGCAACGAGGGGCGGGCGGCGCCTCGGAATGACCTCGTCTGGTGCGTCCTGCTCCTTCCTCGTCCCCCATCCCTCGAGCGAACTCGCCTGACTCATTGTCGCTCGTCCCGCAGGCTCGTTGCGCTTCAATCGCCCTCCTCGCACGCTGTCGCTGCTCGCCGGGTTCGCCAGCTTGGCTTCCTCGTATCCGCACCTCGACCCGCCGGCTCGCCCATCCTGCTGCCGACGAGCCAACGCACCTCGACCAATGCCCCGCCCAACTGCTCGACCCCGAGTCGACCCCTCGCGTCAGCTCGAGCGACCTCGACCTTGGTTCGCGCCCGTCGTGCTCGCCCCTCCTCGACTCGTTTTGGCCTCCTCGACCTCGACTCGCCTCTCAACCACCTTCCGCCTGTCTCACCGGTCGCACCGCGTTCAATTGTCGCGCAAGGACCGACTCGCCAGATCCTGGACCACTCGACGCCGCGAGTCCATCCTTTCGATGCTGCTCGTGCGTCCTGGTTCTCCCTCTTCTTCCCTTTCCTCCTCTTTCCCTCCAGGCCTGACCTCGCCTCGGTCCCGAAACTGCGCAGGTACCCGACGCCTCGTCTGTCTTCTACGATGCAGCTACGTCGTGCTCGTGCTCCTCGTTCTCAACGCCGTCCGTGGCGCTCAACCTGCCGCGTTCACCGTGTCGCCTCGACTCTCCGCCACCTGACTCTACATCGACCTCGACTACTGGGCCCGATGCCCGTACCTCGCACGCCTCGGGTCGGTCAAGCAGCTCCTGCCTTGTCTCGCCGTCCTTCTCGTGGCTCGAGCCCTCGCCCCCTCCTCCTCTCCTCCTTGCCTTCATCCTTGTTCGACATCCACCGGTCGTTCGCTCACGCCGTGCCCTGCCGACGGCGTCCAGGCGAGCGACAGCTGTCGCACTTTGTACGTCCGACTCCTCCCTTCCCCTCCTCCCCCCTCAGCGTCGCTCGAGTGACTTTGCCTGACCTCGCCTCGACTGCTCGTTCTACAGGGTCGTCTTGCCTCGAGCCGATAAGTCGCACTCGATCCGCTGTCGACGCCGCCCGAGGGAGGGCATGGTCATTCCAGACCGGGCTCGACCGGTACCGGTCTCGACGCCTGTCCAGCCGCCAGGCTTGACTTGCCGACACCCAGCTGTCGACCGCCCGCCCTACCTCCTCGAATCTCGTCACTCGACCTTCCACAAGCCAGCATCCACACGAATCACGCCAGGCCGGCTCCCCTTCCCCGACCCGGTCTCGCTCCTCCCTCTCTCCTCAAACTCGCCCTTTCCCTACATCCGCCTTCCTCGACACCCCAGCTCTCCTCGCTCCGCTCGACATGGGCCCGTTCCCGCCATTGCGCCTCGCCTCGCCTCGCCTCCCAAAACTGCCGCATTCTCGGCCCCGCCTCGACCCGAGCTCGCGCAGCCACCAAAGCGCCCTGTGCCCGTCCAGCAGCCTCGTCAATCGCGCTCAACCTCGCTGCATCCTGCCGCGACGACCATGGGCCGCGAGGAACCGCTCCTGCCGCGCGCTCCTCGACATGTTCTCAAGCTCGCTCTCGAGCTGTCGCTTCGTCGCGCACCGATGCAGCCCTATCTGCTCGCACTCTCAGCTCCACGGGCTAGTTATGCTCTCTGGCCCGCCTCGCTTGCTGTCGCCAGTCGGCTCGAGCGTCGGGCTGGGCCTTCCGCCAGCCGCTCGCTCCTTGCTGGCGGATCTGCTCGAGGCCGAGCGCTCTCGTTCCGCTCGACGGCGCTCGCAAGTACGTCGCAGGAGGGTCATCGAGCAGGAGGAGCTAGACGGCGCAGCGACGGCGAGGCAACTCGGGCTGGGTCAAGCGTGGTCAAGCGGTCCTTGCGGCTCGAGGAGGGTGGGCGCGAGCTCGTCGGCGGCAGCCTGGCCCTCATCGAGCCTGCAGCCGTTCGAGCAGCTCTCATGGTCACGAAGAAGCGTCCGTGCGGCTCGCAAGAGAACGCGCATAGCGAGGCGCGAGCGCGGGAGAACTGCTCTCGAGACAGCCGCTCACCGGCAGCTGGAAGATGAGCTACTCTCAAGGGTTCGAGACGGTGCGACGAGTGACAATGCAGTGGCCGACGCTCGCTCTGAGAGGGAAAGAGACGGAGAGTGAGGGAGAGAAGGAGAGAGGGAGAGTGTGAGAGAGAGGGCGCGAGAGGGAGAGTGTGAGTGAGAGTGCGGGTGAGAGAGAGTGAGAGAAAGAGAGGGAGAGAGAGAGAGAGGGAGAGAGGAGAGAGCAAATCGTGACGAGGGCGAGAGAGAGGGGGAGAGAGAAAGAAAGTGTGAGAGGGCGAGAGAGAGGGAGGCAGGGTGAGGGAGAGTGACTCGTGGCGAGAGCTGGTCGGTTGCGAGAAGGACCGTCAGGCAAAGCCGCCCGGCTCGCCGCCGCACTTGACGCGCTCCACTCGTCATGCGCACCTCGCTCGCGAACGCGCCTGGACCCGCCCATCTTCCCCTCGCTCGACCTCGAGCGGAACGGCCACACGTCGGCGCAGGGATGGCGAGAGCGAGCGACCTCTGCTCGGCGGACGATACGAGGGCGGAACGACGCATGCTCGACGATGGACGAGCAGACGAGGCACGAGGGTCAAACGAGGGTGGAAGGTCGAGCTGTGCGGCGGAACGAGAATCGTCAGTCTCTCGCTCTTTGGCGCCCCTCGCCGACTCGGCGCCTCGCGATCGCTCTTGCCAAACGGCAACGTCGAGCGCGCACGCCGCGATGTCCCGACGACGAGGAGCCCGCACGGCCGGGAGTGCTCGGAAGGGGAGGGGAGGAAAGAGGGAGAGGACGCACACTCGCTCGTTGCCGGACCTCGCCTGTCTCGAGGTCACTCGCCCGTCGGCGAGCGCTCCCGCAATCGGCTGGACGACATGGTGTAGGACGAGGCGCTCGAGGCAAGCGAGGTGCTGCAGCTGGCGATGAGGTACGAGAGCTGTTGCGGCTCGAGGACGGGTCAGGACACGTTCAGGTGACGAGAGGATGCGGGCAGAGAGCCCGAGGGCGTGCGCAATGGAAGCGACGAGAGTGAGGCGACTCACGAAGGAGGAAGTGTGGCTGTGCGCAGACTCGAGGAGGCTCGCCGCGAGAACTGCTCGAGGCCTTGAGCTCGCCTCAAGGCTCGGACCGCGGTACCGGTCCTCGACTCGCCTCTCACTCGAGGTCCCTCCAGCGCTAAACCGACCCAACCTCGTTGCGCGTCCCGTCGCTTGACGAGTCGCGAGAGGGAGCGACACACGCACGGGCGAGCGGGCGAGGGCGTCACGGCGCATGCTCGCCGCTGAAAGGGAAGGGAAGGTGAGGCGCCAAATCGATCGAGGAGGGAAGGCGAGCTGTACGGCAGGAGCAAGGTCGTCAGTGAGTGGCTCGAAAGCGCGCCTCGGCGAGCTCGAAGGCGGGGACACGTGGCTGTCCGAGCGAGCCCGGGCCGGCGGTCGAGAGGGCGCCCTCGGCCGCCCGCCATGGCTCGACGACGAGGTTGGTACACGAGCGAGAATGCTCAGGGAGGGGGAAGGAGGGGAGGGAGAGCGCGAGGACGCACACTGGTTCGTTCTCCATCTTATCGCGGTCGAGGCCGATGCGCCCGCCATCGAGGGCTCCGAGGCGGTCCAGACGAGACGAGGCCGCACGAGGCGCTACGACGGGCGCAGCCTTGTCGCGGCAGAAGACGATGCAGGACGGGCTGTTGCGGCTCGAGCGGTAGTCAGCTTGCGTTTCGCGCGGCAGGGGGGACGTGCAGAGGTATCGCAGGCGCGCAGGATGGACGAGGAGAGGGCTGACAGACTCGCAGGAGGAATGCAAGACGCGAGGCTGCTACACCTGCGAGGGCGCGCGCGCGAGCCTGTCGACGCGAGAGAGCGTGCGAGAACGTGAGCGACCAGACCCGACGAGCCTGACGGGCACGACAGGCTCGATAGGAGAGGAGACGCACCGGTAGATCAGGGTGGGCCATGCTCTCGAACGAACGGAAGAACCTGCAGATTGAGGGCGAGAAGAGGTCGCAAGGGTGCGGGAGGGGAGGAGGTGGGGCGAGCAAGGTCAGCTCGCGGATTCTGCGACCCTTACGACGCCGAGCTTGTGCTCCCGGGTCACGGAGAACCTGTCGCACACCCGCCACCGACCGAGCCGACGCGCACGAGCGTTGACGCCAGACCAACCCGACAAGGGACGAGGGAGGGGAGCGAGATGGGGACACACTATCGCTCGATACGGGATCTGGCGCGCTCGCCAGCAGCCGCACGACGCTCTCTCGCTCAAACGTACGGGCCGATAGAAGGTACAGGCCGAGGTCATTGCAGAGGAGAGCTGTGTCGGGCGAGGAGCGATCAGCTTGTGGGTCGAGGACAGAGAAGATTCGGGGAATCCGAGGCTCGCGCGGTCGAGGAGAGGGAGAGAGGAGAGAAGCACACGCACAGGTAGACGATCAAAGTACACGCGGTGACACGGTCCTGCGAGCGACGAGCACGAGTGAGCCAAACAGAGGCCGCCGAGGTGACCCGAGTCGCGCGTGGCCCTTTGGTGCTGAGGGAGCTGCCTGTCACAGTACCTACGGCTGGTAGGACTTCTCCGCTCGAGGCAGCTCCTCACGGCAGGGCGACGCGCGACTGGACGGGGGAAGGGGAGGAGAGGGAGGGGGACGCACAGGGAGTGAGGGACGCGAGGGCGGGCCGGTGGGGCGGGCAGTTGGCGTGTGGATAGTGAAGCAGTCACGGAGAGGGCACTGTCGCAGCAGGGCGAGCAGGCGAGAGCGAGGTGGAGCAAGAGAGGGACGAGGCCAAACACGCGACGAGCTGCTCTTGTGCCTCACCCACCAGGCCATGCTCAGCCGTACTACGCTGCGCCGTGCTCACACGTACCACTTGCACCCAGCCACGCCGCTCCTGTCCTCTCCTGGTCCCTCGCCGCCGACCTCGCCTCCTCCTCTCGATCAACACCCGCGACCACAACAGCTCGCCATGGGCATCTGCCACGCGCACGCCTGCGTGCCATACTTTGCTCGCCTCTTCGCGCCTCGGCCTCGCACAAGTCCGCCATCCTCTGGCCCTGCACGTCGCCGCACCCCGAGTCGTTCTCGTCCTCGAGCACGATCAGGCCGCCCGCTCGACCAGGCCTCCTTGATCCCGAGCCGGCGGTCGAGACGGCATGACGAGCTCACCTTCTTCTTCACAGGCGGGCGATGCCCTCACGTGTGCTCCTCTCGTCTCGAGCACTCTCTCCGCCTCGCGTTCGAATGTGCGTCCCCTCTTCCTCTCTGTGGCCGTGTGCCGCACTCGAGCCGCACCCGAGCTGACCCTGCCCCTCCTACAGAGCTTAGTCACGGCGCGACGAGAACGCCAATCGGCTCGACCGCATCGGCTTGCAGCTGTTTACCGAGGTGCGCCCCTCCTCTCCCTCTCCTCGTCGAGACGAGCAGACTTACTTACATGCTCGACGCCCTCGACGCCTGCAGGTCGACCGCCGACTACTGCTGCACTGTCAGTATCTCTATCAGTACGTCCCTGTCTTTCTCTCTCTCGTCCTCGAGCCGCCGACCATGGCTCGTGCTCGGCCTCGTCGACGCGCACTGACCCTCTTGCTCGCTCGGCAGCTCCTCCTTCCTGTCGACATACTGCGTGTGCGTCCTCCTTCTCTCTTTCATCCGGCCCCCGAACAGAGAAGAGACGAGCGCTGACTCGCCTCGACCGTCGTCGATGTGCGCTCGCGTGCCTGCAGGTCACTCTGCGCCATCTCGACCTCGACTCGCACGCCTGACGCCGCCAGGCGTCGAATCTTCTTCATCTCGGACCCGCGCTACGTCGACGAGCAGCAGCTGGTCCTGAGCAGCCTCGCACCACCGCCTCCTTCGCTCGGACGCCGACCGCCACTTTCTCCCTCTTAATCCATCCCGCTGTGGAACATCTGCGTTGTCATCTTCATCTTTTACTCTCGCATTAGGCGGTCGAGTGCGCCGCCTAAGACTCGCACGTACAGCTGCGGCCCTGACTCGTTCCCGCTCGACGCCAAGTGCCAGTGCCAGCAGGGCGGTGTCGAGGGTCCAGTCGGCGCGTCAGGGCAGCTCATGAGCACCTTCGTCGTCTTCCTTGTCGAGGTGCGCCCGCCTCTCACTGCCTCGGGCTCGAAGAGGAGCCCTGGAGCGGTCAAGCTGACCTCGTCTTCCCTCCGTCCTCCCCTCCTCCTGTCGCCGACTTTCCCGCACGCACAGCGCCACTCAGTCTTGCCGATAGCAGTCGAAAACGTCCCGGTACGGTCGAACAAGCCGATTGGCGAGGTCCTCGGCGCCCTTGCCCTCGCGCATGAAGCGCTTCTCGTTCGGTTCGTGCAGTGCGCCCTCGTCCGCTCCCTCTCTCTACGGACCCGAGCTCATGTCGCACCTTTGCGCAGCCTCACGACGGTGGTACTCGTCGGCAAGTAAGGAGCACATCAAGCGGTTCGTGCACGACCAGCCTCGAGACGAGCTTTCGGTGGACAAGGTGCGCTCGAGCGTTCCTCTTCCTCCTTCCCGTCGCTCGTTCCCTAGTCAGTCAACTGACCCGGTTGTCAAGATCGCGCTCGCACAGGTCGACAAACATGGTCATCAACATTCCTCGTCGACATCCTGCTGGAGGAGGGGCGAGGTAGTACCGGCGTCGCGCGCTCTCGAGGTGCGCTCCCCTCTCTCCCTCCCACACTCGTTGTTGTCGCCGGAGTGTCGACCTGACGCTCTCTCCCTTTGCTCGCACCTAGGCGTCGACTAGGTCCCTCGCCGTTCGAGCCTGATCTTCAGCAGTCCGGCCGGCCAAGGCGGCGCTCTTTCTTCTTCTCCTTGATCATGTACGTCCCTTCCATCCGTGCTTCGGAGATGTGCAAGCGTCGGGTCCTGACCCTGTCGTACGGCCCAGGTCCTGCCGATCACGGCGCCGAGCCGCTCAGCTTCTTCGCTTCTCGGCGCCTCTAAAGGTCCGCTCGGCGGTCGCAAGCTTCGCCCGTCACCGTCATTTCGACTCTCTCTCGACCAGCAGCCGGCCAAGGCGTCGCAGGTGCGTCCTCTCTCACCCGTCGGCGGCCTGCAATGCGAGCTAGCCTCTCGCCTCGTCAGCCCGAACGAGAATCCTCGAATCAGATCCAGCTCTGACTCGGCTCCTGATGGTCACACAGGTCGTCAACTCGGGCTTCTCTTCCGACGCCGAGACCGTCGTCGCTATCAGCTGTACCGCTCGGCGCAGCTCAACCCGACTCGGTCCTCGTTCATCCGCTCGACGGCCGATCCTCGACTTTCTCGCCAACGCTCAGGGCTTCCCACCTCAGGTGCGTCGCCGCCGTCCTCTCTTGGTCGACGGACTGCTCGAGATCCGGTCACTGACCCTCTCCCGTCCTGTGCAGCCGCACCTCTTCCTTATTTGCCGCCGCACGCCGCACGACCGTGGCCGCGCAAGGACATCTTTCTCGGCCTCATCTGCGCGATGTTCTGTGCATCAGTGCGTCGCCTCTCTCGGAGCCGGGCCTCTTCTCCTCCAGGGACCCTGACCTAGTCCTCGCCACCTGACCCACTCGGTTCTCTCGCTCGACAGGTTCTTCATCGGCCGCCGTACAGCTTGTGCGTCTCCTCTTTCTCTCTGTATCACCGTCGGCGGTGCCTGGGCGAGGTCGAGGAGTGCCGGCTCGCTCAGGTCGTCGACGAGCAGTCCGTCGTGCGCACCCGCACGTCGCTCTTAGCCGATTTTCGAGGCGAAGCCTGACCTCTTCTCCCGCCGCGCAGCTCGCCTTCCACTCTCCTTCGACTTTTGCGCCGCATCTGCTCGGCCGTCGCCAAGCAGAGGCGAGCTCAAGGGCTCAAGCAGGCTAGGCGGCGAGCCTCCTCGAGTCTGCGCACAGCCCTACTTCTCCTTCGTCAGTCACCCCATCCTCATCCCTTCCATTGTGCACGCCCTCGGGCTCTCTGCGCGCATCCCCTCGTCACCGTGGACCCATCCTGACCCACCCTCGAGCCGCAACAGCCCTCGTACCTCGTCGCCATCGGCAGCACGTCTTCGTTCGCCTCGAGCGCCTCGTCCTACCTCACGTCGTCCAGCCGATTGCGGGAGCGCTCGCCGACGGGCGAATGACCTCGAGACCGGCGAGGTCCGCCAACGAGCTAGTGTGCGTCCTCTCCCTCTTTCTCCCCCTCCCATCCCCGAGCACTCGCGCCCCGAGTACTCGCGTCCATGCGGGCTCCTCGTCGTCGAGACATCGCGGCCCACGCGCGTGTCGCTCGGCGGTGCGAGTCGGCGAGAGCGATTGCGAGGCGCCGAGCTGGCAAGGGCCGCCAAAGAGCGAGAGACTGACGATTCTCTTTCCGCGCACAGCTCGCCCTTCCACCCTCGTTTGGCCCTCGTGCCTCGTCTGCTCGCTCATAGTCGGTCATGCGTCGTGCCGCCCTCGTCTAGTCGGCCGAGCAGCGGTCACTCACGCCATTCTTGCGGCGACTCGGGGCCGTTCCGCTCGAGGTCGAGCAAGGATTAGATGGGCTGTTCGGTAGCGAGGTGCGCACGGCGAGTGGAGCGCGTCAAGCCTGGCGGCGAGCCTGACGGTCCTTCTCGCAACCGACCGGCTCTCGTCTCGAGTCGCTCCATCTCTTTCTCTCCCTCCCTCTCTCCCGCCCTCTCTCCCTCCCTCTCTCCCTGCCTCCCTCCCTTTCTCTATTCTTTCCTCCCTGCCTCCCTCCCTTCCTCTCTTCTTCCCTCTCTCTCTCTCTCTCACACTCCCTCTCTCCCTCTCTCGCCCTCCCCTCTCAGACCGAGCGTCGTCCACTGCAATGTCACTCGCTGCACCGTCTCGAACTCTCGAGAGCAGCGCCTCTTCCAGCTGATGGTGAGCGGCTCTCGAGAGAAGTCTTCTCGCGCCCGCGCCTCGCCAGACGCGTTCCCTCGCGAGCCGTACCGACGCTCCTTCATGACAATGAGAGTCTGCTTGGACGGCTGCAGGCCCACTGAGGGCCAGGCTGCCGCGGACGAGCTCGCGCCGACCCTTCTCGAGCCGCATGGACCGCTCGACTGCGGTTGACCAAGGCCGAGTCGCCTCGCCGTTGCTGCGCCATCGAGTTGCTCCTGCTCGATGACGCTCCTGCGACGTACTCGTGAGCACCGTCGAGCGGAAAGAGAACGCTTGGCTTGAGCAGAACCGCCAGCAAGGGAGCGCGTGGCTGGCCAAATCGCCCGCCTGGCGCTCGAGCCGGCCGCGACAGCGAGCAAGGCAGGCCGCAGAGCAGATCGAGCGCGTATGGCCGAGAGCGAGAGCAGACAGGCCTGCATCGGTGGCAGCTCAAGAGCGAGCCGAGGACCGGTCGAGGAGCGCGCGGCAGGAGCGGTTCCTCGCGGCTCACGCTCGTTGTGGCAGGACGCAGGGACGCGTAGGTGCCGCCGACGATGCTGCTGAACGGAAACAAGGCGCGCCGGCAGCTGCACGAGCTCGAGTCGCGGCGGGACCAAGAATATTGGGAGACTCGGGAGGCGAGCCGAGGCGAGGCGAGGCGCAATGGCGGGGATGTGCGCAAGTCGAGCGAAGCGAGGAAAGCTTGGGTGTCGAGGAAGGCGGATGAGGGGAAAGGGCGAGTTTGAGGAGAGAGGAAGGAGCAAGTCGGCTCGAGAAAGGCGAAGTCGGCCGGGCATGACTCGTGAGGACGGCGGCTTGTGGAAGGTCGAGCGGCGAGATTCGAGGAGGTAGGGCCGGCGGTCGACAGCGGTGTGCCGGCTAGTCGGCCTCTGCAATGGACAGGCGTCGAGACCGGTCGAGGTCTGAATCTGGAATGGCCATGGCCTCGCCCTGCAGCGATGACAGCGGACCGAGTGCGACTCATCGGCTCGAAGCGAGACGACCCTGCAGGACGAGCCGTCGAGGCGAGGTCAGGCAAACTCGCTCGAGCGACGCACGCTGTGAGAGGAAGGGGAAGGGAGGAGTCGGACGTACAGGCTGCGACTGCTCTTGCTCGCCTGAGGGCGTGCGAGGTGCGGGTACCGGGCCCAGTAGTCGATGTGGATGTAGAGTCAGGTGGCGCAGAGGCTAGGAGACACGCGGTGGCGGAAGGTCGGCATGAATCTCGGACGCCACGAGCTTTGAGCTCGAGCTGCGCCAACGAAAGCCAGGTGCACGCCCGAGGCTGGACGTAGGCGACGAACGAATCGTCGTGTACCTGCGCGATGCCGGGACAAAGGCGCGAGGTCAGGTCGGGAGGGAAGGGCGAGGAAAGGGGAGAAGAGGGAGGGCCAGGACGCACGAGGAGCGTCGAGTGGATATACACGCTGCGTCGAGCGATGCAGGGCCGTACAGGTCGGTCCTTGTGCGACAGGTGGGACCGATGCGTCCGACGAGAAAGGCGGAAGGTCGTCGAGAGGCGAGGCGAGGTCGAGGAGGACAAAGTCGAGTCGAGGAAGGGCGAGCCCGACGGGCGCGAACCGAGATTGAGATCGCTCGAGCTGACGCGATGGGTCGACTCGTAGGCGAGCAGTCGAGGCGCAGCGTTGTTCGAGACGCGTCGGCTCGTCGGCAGCAGGATGGGCGAGCCGGCGGGTCGAGGTGCGGATACGAGGAAGCCAAGCTGGCGAACCCGGCGAGCAGCGACAGCAGCGAGGAGGGCGATTGAAGCGCAACGAGCCTGCGGGACGAGCCACAATGAGTCAGGCGAGTTCGCTCGAGGGATGGGGGACGAGGAAGGAGCAGGACGCACGAGACCAGGTCACGCCGGGCCACCGCCGGCGCTCGGCGGCAGCGTGCGAGGAGGAGGACTGAGGCGGGAACGAGCCTGCAGGACGTGCGGCAACGAGTCAGGCGAGCTCGATCGAGGGATGGGAGATGAGGAAGGAGCAGGGACGCACGAGAAGCTGCGCAGTTGCCCAGGCTTTGCCTCGAGCCACAGGGGACCAGGGAGAGCGTCCAGGTCTTGTGCGACGGGTGGCAGACGAGCGAGATGGAGGTGACCGAGGGAGAGTGGGTGATGTGGTGCCAGGTCGAGGCCGACCGACGAGGAGAGGAGAGGAAGGCGAGCTGAGGAAGGAGGCGCCGGCTCGGAAGTGGTGCGTCGAACAGTCGGTACTGGGTGACGAGAGTCGAGGGCGCAGGGCGAGGGCGAGGGAAGAAGAATCGGCTCGTCGAGGCGAGTGACCGAGACCGTGACGGGCACCGTGACCGTGACGGGACGGGTCTGGATAATGATGCTAACGCGAGAGAGCGACATGCCCCGTACACCGATCGAGGCGAAAGCTGTGACACACAGGGAGCAAGGGTCAGCCGAGCTTGTCGAGAGAGTGGGTCGAGAAAGGGGAGAAGGGGTACGAGAGAGCGGCAGGACGTACGACAAGGCCATGCTCGCGCAATTGCTGCTGCCGTCGCTCGAAAGCCGTCGCGATGTCGAGCGGACCGGCCTGTGCATCGAGAAGGAGTTGGCGGAAGAGGGAGAGAGGAAGGTGGACGAGGGTCAGCGGGGCCTCATGTGATGAGGTGCGCGCGAGAAGTGAGAGAAGTAGGACGCACCTCGGTCGTGCTCGCCAGCTCGCACACGCCGTATCCCGCAACCAGTCTTGCTCCCAGCTTGTAGCGAGCGGAGAAGAGACGAGCGCAGGAGGAGCGCAGGAGGGTGGGAGAACGTGTGGCGGCGACGGGTGATGGGCTGTCGTAGGCGTCGCAGTAGGTGTGTGTCGAGCTTGGCGAGCTGCTGCGCGTCGTGCTGGCTGAGCTGGATTGAGGAAGGGAAAGGAGGAAGCCGTTCCTCCGCCGAGGCTCACCCGACGCGATGAGGCGCGTTCCGGCGCGTCCACCGGTGCAGGCTCAGCTGGTCGTCACACGCTGGTTCTTCGACTCCCTTGCTGCGGGACAGCCTACTCGACGCACAGGCACGTCCACCGAATGTCCCGACTTGAGCAGACGCGACAGGCCGCTTCCCTTTCTTCCTCCCGCCTCTCCTCCTCACCTCGCGGTGAGGCGTTCGGTGCCGATTCTCCGTGTCCCTTGTACAAGGAGATATGCGCACGCCGCTCGAGCAGGCAACACCCTTCTCCCAGAAATCACGATGCGCTGCGAGGCGTGTGCAGAGCAAGCTGCGGTTCGCGTGCAGCCAGCCATCCACTCAGCTCGCAGGAGGGAGAGACCAAAGGAGAGCTGAAAGCGAGCGCGAGATGAGCCCGCATCGAGCAGGTTCGAGTCCAGCAGAGAGGGACATATCAGACGCCTATTCGCATTCTCTAGGTTGAGCCTGACCACATTGGCAAGAGGTTGTAGTAACGATAGTGAGGGAGCCTTGACAGCAGAAGACCCAGGTTGAATAGCAAGACAAGGAGCAGAGTCCATATTCGCCTTAACGCGGCCTGATACTGATCTCATTAGTGGCCGTGGGCAGCGCTTTACTTTGCTCTCTCTAATCGGAACGTAAGGCTGTCGGCCGACATTATGAGCAGCCACATTAACCACCGGATTGGCGACATACAAGGATCGAATTCGGTGACGGGCAAGCGATTTGTATTGAGCGTCAGGAAAAGCTTGCGGGCGCGATCAAGCGGCTCACCCTGCTGCAGCGCACAGCAAGATACATCTGCAGAAGACGCCGGATTTTTAGAGAATTTATCTGAGGACATTCGGCTCCCAATGTTCGAGCGACAAAGCTAATCCTGCTATCCTACTTGCCGGGACGGCTTATGGTCGTCGCTCACATGCGGGGAGGCGCTGTTAGAATACGATAGCTTCGTATGCTGATTACAGTCTCAACCTACCTGAGGCTTGTTTTTCCTTGGGTGCAGCGCTGTTCGAGTGCAATAGAATGAAGTGACCCCCTGATGTGTGAGCAGTGAATGTAAGAGAAGGTTAGGGGAAGACACCACCTTCCGGGTCCAAGTCCACCTTCCGGGTTCAAGTCCCTCCCAGTGCAAGGACCCATTCTTTCAGTTCCCAAGTGCCGTATCGGTCAGAATGTGAGCGTGTAGCAACACCCTGAACAAGTTCCAAGCCTGTACCTCAACTTTCCCTCATGTCCAACCCTGCCCTTTCCCCTCCTTTTTCCACTTCCACTTGCTTGTGTAGTTCCCAAATTCCAGTGCAAGTTCAACAGAGGTCTTCCACAGCACTTTCATGACATGTGTGA